ACTTTTTCCCTTGCTTGTTGAGTGGACCCTGATTTGGTGGCATCTGTGGTGAGGTAGGATTTGTGCATGTTGAGATAAATAGAAGTATTGGGTAAAATAATATTGGAAAAGTAATTCCCATGCATGTTGTGGAGGCCTGTGATGAGCGTGTATGTATGCATGTTAAGATAATAGAAATATTGGGGTCGAACTATTTAGGAATATAGGATTTACAAGTATGCCGGGAACCTCTAGGCACCTTCCGGACAACTCTGGGGTCCTCCTGGTACGTTGTTACATGCTTCTGTCAACTCTGGAGGTAGCCCGGAACCTCCTAACTGGATTTTTGCGCAATCTATTGCACGGTTTTATTACATGCTTCTGTCAACTCTGGACAAAAGTAGGAAAATAACAATTCGTTAACAAGAAGCACACAGGAGGAGCGGAGGACCAATGTGCGGTATTATAGTGGTATCAATGGATATCTAATATTTTGTGATCCGCATTAACAAATATTGGTGTCGTTGTTAACGCGATTCCATATTTCTCGGCAGATCGACATGTACCTTGAATTTCTAACGGGGTCTCCAATGTGCGAAAACATTGGCCTTAAGCAACAGAATAGCACCTTGAGACCCGGCCACAAACATAGTGATGGGAGGTTCTTCACTCCTGGCATTGTGCGAACTCTCATCTAGGGTTTCCCTGACTCTCGCCGGCGACGCCGTCGGTCCGCCTCGTCTCCTATGGTCCTTGGACCATGCAGGCATGGTGGAAACCCGGCCCTTGCCTACGGGAGGGCTCTGTTTTTAGATGCTTTTCTGAGTTTTGTTAGGGTTTGTGCCATGCTCAAGAAGGCGAGGTGCCGGCGGCTTCTTGAAGTTGGAATAAGGTCTTCCCCGCCTAGCCCCCGTCCTAATGATGTTTGAAGCATCATTGGAAGGCGTGTGGAGGTTTGTCTCTAACGGATCTCGTAGGATTCGGTCGGCGTTTGTCTTCGGTGGATCCGACTGGATCCGGTCTTCATTCGTCTATGTCTGTGTGTCTTTAGGTTGGATCCTTCTGGTCTACACTTCTCTTCATCGGCGGCGGTTGCTGTTCTGGTGCGCTGGTCCTATATGACCTTAGCACGATGACTTCCCAATTGTCTACTACAATAACGTTTGCCCGGCTCCGACGAGGGAGGGGTGATGATGGCGGCACGCCTTCGGCTCGCTCGCTTCAGTGCTTGTAGCGTCGCTAGGTGGTCTACAGACCTGGATGTAAATTTTACTTCTAGTGTTCTTTGTACTACCTTGATAGTTGATGAATAGATCAGAAGTTTCTCGCAAAAAAAAATAGTGATGGTAGGTATTAAGCTAAATCTACAAAGATCGCTTCATAGCACTAATTAAGACCAAGCCATAAGGAAGATATCCTTTTTGTCTTCTCTCTCTCGACCATCATGTGCTTAGATAATAATAGAGTGTAAACATAAGGAAAAGGCCTACAGATTTGGTACAGCTTAAGACATATGGTTGTACTTAAGCACTGTGGACATTTTACTGTGTTGTACTCCCCCGATTCACTATTATTAGATATTCTAGTAACTTTTTCTAATCTTAATGTATATAGATGCATTTTAGTGTGTTTGTTCACTTATTTCAGTCTGTATTTAGTCTAGATTGAAATCTAAAACATTTTACTTTTGTGAACTGATGGAGAAGCATATAAAGCAGTATCAACTCGAGTCTCACTTAAGACTTAGGAATTAAAGCATTGGAGGCTACTTTTTTCAGGGTAAAAGCATTGGAGACGGATTCCAGTGTCTGTGTAGACTGAACTGAGGAATGAGCACCACCAAACTTTCCAGATTGGCACGATCTTGGGTCTCTCTAGAGGGATGATAGTGCACATCTATCGCCAAACGCACCATGTGCGGATGTTGAAGTTTCACCTGTAGGGTACTGTTACTGTATGACTGTATCGGTTGTTAGTGCTATGGAGCTACTGTATGTATATGCCAGCGTGCATATTTTATACATTTTCACGCAATAATTGAAACTTCCCACACGAGCACGGCCAAAAAGGTCACCCCATTGCTAACTACTGCCCGTTGCTTTGCAATTATATACGCCAACACGGGTTCCACGCCGTTGCAGGAAGACAGGCAGTTTTGCTGCTAGCAGGTGAAAATGCAAACCACCGCCTCCTGCTTGGGAGGAGCACGAGGATGCAGACTGGGCTGCCTTTCCGCCGCGCCGCCGGCTGGAAGTCCTTCTCGGAGGTGGCAGCGGCCGCGGCACGCCGCACTTCGATGCCGGCAGCGGCAAGCTCCGGCAGCAGAAGTACATCATGAGGTTGACGATCGGTCGAGCAGGAATCCTTGCGGCTTCTACCCTTCTGTGTGGGGGGATTTCTTCCTTCACCACTCTGATCCAGCAGCTTCCTCTCAGAAGCAGGTGGAACCATATATACCCTCTACTCTCTATTACCTGCATATGTGCTTGTTTTTTTACTGCTGTACAACAAATGGACTGCATATTGGAACCATTCGAGCAATATACTCTCTTATTACTCCCTTCATTTCCTTATACATGGCCACTATGAAAAATACATTTTTCATCTATACAAGGCCACTAACTATAACCGAGGCAAAAATTAATGATGTTTCCTCGTACTATCAACTTGTTTAATACTTGCATGCATGTAATCATATTGACACTGTGCTACTTTCTTCTCATTCCTTCCTTACATGCATGCGGGTGTATTAATGATTCCGGTTAACGAAAAAAGTGGGTTTGCAAAGCAGTCATTAAATTTTACCTTGGTACCTGTAATTTGAGTTTGTGGCCTTGTATAAGGCAATGGAGGGAGTACGTGACATCTCACTGCGGAGTTTCTAAAATAGCGTGCTTCTGTTTCTGGAAATTTTCTAAAGTAGAAAGAAATCCCAAGTTCCAAATGTCCAAAGTGGGCGGGGTGGCTTGTTTTGATCAGTCCATGTATTTTTGTAGTACCTATGGGGAAAGTATCTGGTACGACCTGTGCACCAGGCGCCAAAAAATACATTGTAATTAGTATGTTTAAAAAAACTGAAAAGGAAATTAGCACATAAACAAGGCATGGATCTATGATGTCACAAAAATTTAAATCAAAATTTGAAACATGGCTTATATAATGGGCCAATGTAAAGCCCAACTTACATTAGACACTGTAGCATGCATGGTCGACCATTCTACTAGCTCACATATGAAGTTTCGCAAAAAAATGATACCCATGACATTTTGAAGAAAAATTAGAAAATCGAAGATATATTCAAAAACATTGTTTGAAGGACTTGTAAGGTCGGACTGTATTTTGTTCATTATGAAATACCCGTGTCATTCTTTCATGAAACCTCATACACGAGTAGAATGGTCGACCAAGTTTGATATATCAAAATTTTCGTTTTTTTAGTATTTTTGTAATCTACTATACACATGGGTGCGCGTGGAACCATGTTCACGTGTGCATTTAAAAAAAAATACTAACATAGGCACACTCCGAAAAACATATTTGTTTATTTGAAAAAAAATACATTCTTTTAGAAACATGGTGCATATATATTCCTCACGATCAAACTGGTACATCGTTCCCCACTGAAAATATCCTCTTTTCTAAATAAATGCACAAAAACACGAAGGTGCTACATATATATTCATAAACAGCGTGTTGGTGAAATAAACTCACTTCATGTTTGGTGTTAACAGTTGGCGGTACACAAAACTCAAGTACATCGTGCTTTACGTCTTTATGCCTTAGTATCAATTTCATTGAAAAGGGCTCACTAATTCACCCATGGATAACTATTTAGTGTAAAGGTCCAATAATTGACAGATGAATAATTACTTAGTAATTAGTGTCTAATACACTCACTTGTCTTGTTGCTTTTAGCAGACATGGATGGTAGAACGAGTAGAAGAACTCAGGAAAGATGTGTCCAAATTGATATCAAGTTCCACCACCTATCTTGAGAGGATGAATCTCATTGTTGCTTTAGAGCGTCTTTGCTTGGATTATCTTTTTGAAAAAGATATTAATGTGGCGTTAAAACAAATTTATAGTGCCAATGTTAGTGACTTTGATCTTCATACAGTAGCCATTTGGTTCTATCTACTACGTAAACATGGATACAAGGTTTCACCAGGTAAGACACATTCAAACTCAATCATTATTATGAAGTAAAACATTATAGTTTAAAGTGGCTGATAGGTATATATCGTACCAATGATACCTAATTATAGTTTTTTCCAACATGAGGCTATTGTTTATTTGTTGTACGTACTCTTCTTTCTAATTTGAAAAACTAGTTATTTGACAAATTTTAATTTATTATTCCAGACGTGTTTGCGAAATTCTTAGATGAGGATGGAACTTTTCTGACAGCAACTCCGAGAGAACTATTGAGCCTTTACAATGCCGCACATTTTAGTATCCATGGAGAGATAATACTTGACAAAGCTATATCCTTCACCAAAAGGAGTTTAGAATCAAAACTGCCATATCTAGAAGGATTAATGGCACATGAAATTCAATGTGCACTTGAGATACCCCTCCCGCGAAGGGTTGCAATTTATGATGTTAAGAACTATATCTCTACATATGAGAAAGAAGCTACAATGAATAAATCGGTATTGGAACTTGCAAAGGTGAATTTCAATTTGATGCAACTCCAGTATCAACAAGAGTTGAAAATTACTACAAGGTGAAATTATTAACATTATTTCAATGAGCTTGTCCTATCTTAACCTTATAGATCATGAATGTGTTTTATCATAATTAACTTTGAAGCAGTTTCGGGTCAAAATTTGATCTACATTCATCTGATTTTTTTGAAGTTTTATACTCTAATGAGCATCTTAGGAAGTTTCAAAAAAATGTACAGGTGGTGGAATAATCTGCAAGTTCATTCAAGGCTCCCGTTCGCTCGGGATAGACTCGTGGAATGTTATTTGTGGATGTTGTGAGTATACTACCAACCCAACTGTTCACGGGGCCGAATGATACTTACGTTCGTGATTTACACTACAACCATCATCGATGATATTTATGATTCATTTGGAACATCAGAAGAGTGTGAATTGTTTACCAAGTGGGTAGAAAGGTTTGTAACTTTCATGGCAAACATTCTTATACTCATTTTTTGTGGGACAAGCTGGTTAAAAACGGGCAAAGATTACATTATCCAATATGAAACAACATATGTCTTGGCTAATTTAGTGGTAGTTCCTCGAAGCCGTTGGCTTGGCATATAACGATACATAAAACTTCCATGCAATTAGCTCTAACTATTTATTCTCTTGTAATTTCCATTGTTCATGTATATAGTGGTGCATATGATTATTTTGGAGAGTTCGCTCCATAAGAAACCATCTTTGAATTTTGTTTTCAGCTCTTTAAAATATCAACTTCAGCTGCATGTATGAATCTCCACCTTAAATACTGCTTAACTAACATTGTTGAATCTGCATCACTCATATTATTCTGCTTTAAATTTAGGACAGATCATTCATGTCTAGTTGGGATCCAAAGGTAGCTCATGTTCTCCCAAAGTGCATGCAATATGCATTGGAAAAAATCATGGACTGCCATCAGATCATTGATAACAAGCTAGCACCGGAGGAGAAATACCGTATGACCTACCTCAGAAACTTTGTAAGTGAGCTTATCTTCCTCAAAAACACTTTTTGAAAATAACATAATTATGTTTAATTATATCTATCTAAGTGATAAATTACACTAGCATTTATGTTGTTAATGTTGTAACATGTTTAAAACTTACTCTTTCAAATTGTTCTAAATAAATGGGTGTTATGTTCCAATTTTCAGACAGTGGATCTAGTTAGAAATTACAACAAAGAGGTTAAAATGCGCAAAGAGAACTTCATCCCAAGATCTGTCGAAGAGCATCTTCAGGTCTCGGCAAGGACTTGCGCATGCCATTTGTTGGCTTGCACTTCACTGGTCGGAATGGATGATATAGCAACAAAGGATTCTTTTGAATGGATTTCGACTGTGCCTAAAATTGTGCAGAAGCTTTGCATAATTGTTAGACTATTAGATGATATCATGACCTATGAGGTAATAATAAGTATTCATTAATTTCATCCAAAATAGAACACAGATGCATGCATATATAATGCTTGATCTATGATTCATTATTTAACGTGTGTCCGCAGCGAGAGCAGATGACGCCTCATGTTGCTTCGACAATGGATAGCTACATGAAACAACACAATGTCTCGATTGAAATAGCACGTCACAAGATACAAGAGCTAAAGGAGGAATCATGGAAAGATTTCAATGGTGAGTGGCTAGAGCCTAATATTGACCAACCGAGGAAGTTGATTGAGGCGATATTTAACCTCACAAGAACAATGGAGTTCATGTATAACAAAGACGATAACTTTACTAACTGTAGGAACCTCAAGGATATCATCCGATTATTATTTGTGGAGACTTTTTGAGATTGCTTAGTAGTATAAAGCAACCAACAAGTGTGCTAGTGTGATAATCTCTTCCAATAAGGAACCAGATCCAACTGGATAATATTTTATACATATCAGTTTGTAGTCTCTATGCATATGTAAATGGTGTGACTATTCTTTAAAGAGGTTGTCTACTATACATACAATTCCATGATTATACAAGACAACAAATGAGTGAATCAATATATTGCAATGAAGTACGAAGTATAGCGGAGGGATGCAAACATAGATGGGATCAGTGATGTTTTACCCTGGTTCAGATAGTTAGCGATATCCTAGTCCTTGTTGACGGAGTCTTCAAGTCACAAAGACTATAATACCACAAAGGGCCAACCAAGTGCAAGACAACCTATCCCACCATGGCTATCGACCAAAAATGTCAATCCACACTCGAGGTAGATCTTCACAAAGTAGTCGATCTCCAAGCCATTCCAGCTCTTGATTCCTTAAGAATATCATGGTTCAAGGCTCCGAAGTGACTCCTAACCATCTAGGATGTGCACACTCTCCAAGAACAACAATTAAAGAAGAATCACTTGGTAGAACTCCTCAAAAGATCTCCACTCCAAGAACCCATGGAATCTCTCTCTCTCTCTCGCTAGCACACACACACACACAAAGGATAGGCTTAAAACATGAAGATATAAATAAAAGGAAGGGGTTCGAGAAAGAGAGGAGGTAGTCTTTCAAATAGCTTAGGAAACTACTCTCTCAGATGTGAAAATGGTTGGGTGTCCCCCTCACATGAAAGGGCGTGGACGCCTATTTATAGAGAAAGAAGAAATCAGACCGTTTCTCTCAAAAGGCAAATTGCCCAAAAGTACCATTTTTTCCGAGCTAACGCTCCTTGGCAATAGTGCCAAAAAATATATATTGGGACCTCAAGTGAGAGGGTTTGTAGTACTCAAGAGATTTCTTCGTAGTTAGAAAACTATGGCTATCAATCATAAATCTCAACTCCAAGAGCAAATGATCAACCTTGCACTCAACTAAGAAACTCTTTGTCCCCAAATTGCCTAATGAGGTTGTCAATCTCACTAGCTTTTCCACTTACACAAGAATTACCATCTCAAGTATTTGGAATTGATTGAAAGTGTGTGGAACAATTAATTGAAGAATATTTTAAGTACAAGAAAGTGTAAAAAAAGAAAAGTTGTATTTATGAGGAAGAATGGAGCAGGGATCCATAATTTCACTAGTGAAATCTCTCCCAATAGCATATGCATGGTAAACAAATTATTGTTGTGTATCGATAAAATTGCAATTTTATGGTTAATCGTACATATAGGAATTACGTCATTGTACTCGTAGAGCGCCATCCAACATGCATTTATAGCTAATACTCCACTGAAAGACCAAAATCCATGATGCATCTTGCGTATTAAGTAATAAACGGAGTATTGCATTAAGGAAATCGATGAATATTATATTCCCTTTTCTCGAGCTCATGACCGAGACAACTAGGCAACTATCTTTTTATTGTTAGTGGCATTAATACAATACAGTCCCTTTCCTCTTAATGTCATTGAAGTAGATGAATTGTAGGGTAGAACTCAACTAGTGCACACCACTTCCTCTTGTAGATCATTCATGTAAACATGGACAATGAATAAACAAATGCACTATTGGGGTAATCTCTTCCAATAAGGAATCAAATTTATATAGACCATAATTGAAATAGATATAAACCACATTACGAGTTGTACAATACATATTCTTGAACATTTCCTGATCTGACATCAAAGTCAAATCTTACCTTGACCGTGGTCCTTCTCCATATCGCCATGTGCTTCAAATTTCCTCGATGCTTATTCCTTCCCCAATATCATGAGTTTTCCTTTCTTACTGTCACAATTTTTTTCCCCGATCTTTTGAGGTCGAGGGCATTTATTTTGTGAGGTTTTTTAACATGCTTTCTCTTACCTCCCCTTTTCACATGAGAGGAAAAAAATAAAATAGATCCGAGCCGTTGATTGCATTAAGTAGTGGGGTTGATTTAATCTTAAGTAGTTGGTTGATTAACTCTTACCTTGTAACCTCCCATGTGAAAAGACGGGGTAAGAGGGAGCATGTTAAAATTCTTGGTTCAAAGGTTTTGATAGGAACAATGAAAAACCAAGCGTACCTCAGATGATTAGGTTCCTTGTTGTGGAACCAGCTATCAGAGTGCAAGTCTTAAACTTGGCGCTGATGCTCTTATTTTTCTAGATTTTTTTCAAACTTTGCAGGGACGTTCGTTCAGATGCTAATAGAGGTAAGGTGTGTGTGTGCGCGCGCATTCATCGGGATGATTGTATGTAACATTTGCATTTGTGCCGTGTTTAAAAAAATCCTCAGGATTTTCTTTCATGTGGGATGTTTGATTAGTAGGATTTAATCCTCTAGGAATTTAAACTCGGAAATCGATTGCACTACATTCCAAAGAAAACTTTGCATCCACTCCTTCATCCAAGGAATTCTTTCTTTTCCTATGTTGCAATCAATTACAAATGGTGCAAAAAATATCATGTAGGATGGTTCCTACGTTTTTCCTATTTAGATGGGATTAGGTGTTTGCTGATCGCACTGGGTTAAAAGAGAGAAAAATCTGTTTTTATTTTTTGGATTAGGAGAGTACCAAAGCTGCTCTCATATTTACCGATCACATGTTCGCTCATTACGTTTGCTGAATAAAATAACGGTGGATACAACCCCCAAATCCGGCGCTGTTCATCTCAAGAACCATCATCCCTGTTGATGCGAGACGACCCAAAATCCAACACCCATTTCCTCCTCAACCTTAGCATCCGCACGCGACCAGGCCCGGAGTTGGTGCCGGCGGCGGGG